ATTTTATTCTACTTATATATGGCATTTTTGGTCCATTAAATCAGACAAGATTCATAAATTTTCTTGCAGTTTGTCTACTTTAATCGTGTCCGATTTTATTATCCCAGCATGCCAAACACAATTTGGATTTTTCATTGATGTGCAAATAGCAGTGTTCTAAAAAGGCAAAAATTGGGATGAGGCGGCAAGGTCAAGCCTTACGAATCTAGCATAAAAATGTAACTTTATTTTTATTTTTAATATTATTCAATTATTCTGTGATCATTGAATAAATAAATAGAATTATACAAAAATACTAAAATCATAAATTGTATAATTACTTTCTAATTTCTATAACTAGACAATTAAAAATTGAAAGCACATTATCCTTCTCAAGTAAATGGGCCCAAGAAATTTCTCACACCTAGCGCCTAGGCCTTTTTAACCTTTAGGTCCAAATACAAAGATAGTTATTAAATCCTTAGCGTTGTATAAAAACATTCCTCCAATAGTAACAGTTAATATGAATAAGAGAGTTGCATATTCAGCTCCTATTGAATCTGCTATCGTTGTTTTCTTGATCTACCTAATTGGTCAAGGAAGTTTATACAGTAATATGCCTCTAGAAATTTCTACCATGATTGTATTCTGACACAAAAAGAAATTGAAAAAAATAAAAAAATAATATTGCTTGTCTAGGTCCGCCTATCTCGCAATAAACGATCATAAGAAGAGTCAATCTCCTTTTTCAGGCCTTGTCCATATGATATGGGAATGTTTTGAAAATGCCTCATCCCTAAACACTCCTAAATGATATATTTTTACGCCTTTTAGAACACAACAGAATAACAACTCACCACTTAAAACCAATAATAATAATAATAAAATGACCATTACTCTTATGTTTTTTTTGAAGAACTAAAATATAATAAGGTTGGGTTTATGCCGTGCCAATAAAATTAGCAATTTATTGCTTGGGCTTGGGCCTAAGTCTAGTGATATGCTTCAGCCCACCAATATAATATCAATATTTTTAGCTATTGGGCGGGCCCAATCAAATCCACTAGGGCCTCGTAGGTTTGGGAAAATTAGGCCAATTACTGTAAAAAGGGAACAAATTAGATTAATACACTTTAACCAAATTAAAATCTCTAACAACCGTAAATAATACGTTCCCAACCCCAAAATCGTCCAAAAAACCTAAAAGCCCCAAAAAATCCCCAAAACCACGATTCCGTCAGGTGGGAGAACCAAATCTGGTGCTGTGGCTAGACGCAATAGTTGGTACTGGCATGGCGCTGGTGGTGCTGTAGGTGGTGGAATTGGTGGGGGTATTGTTAGGGCGGGTGTTGGTGGTGGCTATTGGACAGGTGCAGGGGATGCTTGTGGTTGAGATATAACCGGTGGAAGTGCTGGTGGTGAAAGAGAATGTTAAGGAAAGAGAGGGGTTGGACCAGAATGTGGGCGTGAAATAGGTGGTGAAGTTTGCGTTGCAGTACTCAGGTGCTGCTAAAACTGCTTTAGTGCCCAGAGGGGTTGCAACAAGTTTAGCAATATCATCGACGAGTACGAGGTCAGAATCTAGATAAACAACCTTTTGAACGCATTCTGGGAGCATATCAGCTAGATAGTTGCAGGCATAGTTGAGTGGACAATCCAGTGCAGCACGAATAGAAGTTGAGATCAACCTCGCCACCGGCGAATCATCGAAAGGATAGATGTTGAACTGAAGGTAAGGAAATGACTTTGTGATTGTGAGGTTGAGATGGGAGGTGTCGGCGGCAATGGAAGACACCAAGTGGAAGATTATATTTTCAGGGCAAGATGAGTGTTGAAGGACTGAAAGAATAGCAGCCATGGATCCCCTGAGGTACAACCGGTGGAAGTGAAACTGGATTCTAAACCGGGATACCCACAAGCCGTCGGCATTGGCATTGCGTCTGCTGGAAATTGGAATGTTGTTGTCCAAATTTGGAATTCTGTTTCCCGGGCTTCTTCGTCTTCTTCACATTTAGCGATTAGTCTTTACTTTTTATTATTATTTTTTTTTGTGTCATCACAATTTCATACATTATTCTTATTCCTGTTGTATTCCTTTTGACGTTTATTTTAGCTGAGTTTATCCTCCGAATTTTTGTATTCCCAATGTCTA